TGCTTTGAATGAAAAGGTGCAGAAATTTTTCAAGTTTCAGGGAAATAATACAAACTTCTTTGATGCCTTATACAAAGACTGCGGTCACAAAAAACCAAAACAAACAAAACCAAACAAACAAAACCACCAAAAAAATCACACACACAAAAAAAAAAACTTCCCAGAAAAACAGCCAGCAGCATTTTAATAGCTGTAAGAATACCCAGGCTACAAGTGTACTTGAAAATTTTGTTCCATCTGAAGATGGTATAATTTCTATTTCTACAGTCAGAGGCCAGCTAACTGACCATTTCTTCCAGCTGCATCTAAATGGCACTACTGTAGAAGCACATTTCAATAACACAGAAATCTCTGTTGATTCAGAAAAATAAATGACAAGACACACATGCACCAAAAACAAACAAACAAACAACAACAACAACAACAAAAACATCTTTGCATGGACTGCCCATGATCTGAATTCTGGATTTTGGTGAGAATATTTTTTCAGGACTGGCACTGTAAAATTGGGTTCTCAGAGTCAAATCTAGCTCAACATTTTCTGTTGTGGCATTGTGAGTCTAGGTAAATTAAGAAACCACATCCTTGTGGTGTTGGATAATGTGTCACTTTCGAAAGGCAGTGGCTGTCACCATGAAGCCATGTGGAGCTGACAGTGGGATGGGAAAGCTCTTGTGAGAAAGCTTTCTCTTCTCTCAGGTTTCCCAGCTTCTGTTCCTTAATTTTCCTGGTCACTGATACAGTTTTTCTTATAGGAAATGTGACTGGAAGTGCCTCACAGACTGGTGCACATGTACGACCAGTGCAATCTAGAAAAGAAAAGTCACTGGAGAGATTAGTTTCTCCCAGGAAAGTGGTGGGAGGGGAGTACATCACTAATTATCAAGTTCTGGTCTCCTTCCTTTAGAAGAAATTAGTATTTTAACCAGTTCATAAATTGTCCATGTCAAGAATCAGAACTGTTAATCTGGGAAGAGAGAGCAAACAAAATTTCTACGTGTTGATACACTGAATTTTCTGTTTACATCTACCTACAGTAACTTCAGTCTTCAAAGGTTTCTCAGGCTCTCCTAATCAAAAGGATACCTAAAGCTGAGGGAAAAGCATAAACATCTTATGCGAGGCTGCTTCATTTTTGCTTTAGTTTGCAACTAAATATTTTCATTTCTGAAAAAAATATATTTTGAATGTTAATTAGGTCTTTTGATTTCACATTTTGGTGTTCCTGTATATACATACCTTCTGATGTATCATGGTGGCCCACAGGCCAAGAAATCCTTCCCCGAGTTTGTGGAGGGTTTTATTCAATGTTACCAAGGCTTTCCAGCCTTCAGAAGAGTGTATGAACTCATCATTGCTCAGGTAAAAATCCTCATTTAAGTGGGTGATGTCTATACCTAAACTTTACATACAGCTATGCCTTCTAAACTTCAGGGTATTTTCAAAGACACTACAAATGACACTTGTTTTCCTCAACATTCAGCAAAGGAAGTCAGTATCATTATTCATATTTTACAAAGAGGGAAATAAATTATGAAACTGAAATCAGGACTTTTTTTCCAACTTTTGATGTTTGTGTTTTTAAGGAAAAACTTATGCATTCTTTCACCATTTAACATTTTTTTAAAATGGTCTATAAGTTCCTTGGCACACTACTAGTGCTAGCTATCAAAATCTTGAAACAATAGAATAGATTGCCTTTTAATAAAAACTATGCATTTTAGCACCTAAATTTTAACATGCTCATGTTATTTCTTATTTTAGCTCATCATTATTTTCTCAGTTTAGCTTATGCTGCATTTGGAATACAATGTCTTCAGTGAGAAGTTTACTTTTTGTTATTGTTTGTGGTAGGGCAAGTAAAGCTGAAGGAAATAAAAACATCCCATTGTCATCTGAGTGACTAAATTCCTGATCAACAGCAAGAAAAAGGCTCCCATTGGAAGATAAAATGCAGTTCCTAGAAAAACTGTCATATTATTCTGCCATATTCAGCACAAAAAGCATTTTGAGGGTGTCCATTTATCAAGAGCAGTCAAAGTATAGAAACTCAACAGGGTCTTATGTCTCAGACGTTAGGGATACCAGCCCTAGAAGGACTAAACCATTGTGTATTGCTATGTATTGAGCCTCCTTCCAGGTGGCAAACAGCTGCACCTTTTTATAAAACTTCAAAAATAAATCTGAAGTGCTTGCTTCCAGCCAATAAGTGTTATATTTAATTGAACCGTTCTGCGAATGTTATAGCTCAGGCACCCAGAAAGACAGTGAATATTTAGTATATTTGTTTTGTATTTCCACCGGTCAACAGAATAATGAAATTCCTGAACTACTTCTCTTTAACTTGCCTGAAGAAAGCACGGTATGTTGCTAAATCGCTTTTCACTGGCCCTGCCGAGAAACAACTTTAATCCTTGTTAGAAAATTGCAGAGTCTGGGCCTGACAAAGAGCTCATGCCTGGTGCATTGTGAGTGCTGGGAGCGGGGCGAGGGGAGCCCTTTACAGCTGCGTGCCACCAGCCTGCCTGAGCTGGACTATTTAGGCGAGGAGGTTTGTCAATTCCTCCCGACAATAGAGCGAGTTTTTCAGCGCCTGTAGCTGCGCCGAGCCCCGTTGGGGATCAATGCTGGCCATTCAAGCTGCACCCTCTTTCATTGCTTTGGTTTGTTAATTTAAGACTAAAGGTCCGCTGAGGGGGTTTAGGGTGTTTAAGAAAGCTGATGAACTGTTTAAGAAATCTGATGAACTGAGAGCGTTTATAGCCCTGGTGTGGCAACTATTGGCACTGAGGGAGCTATGTCCTTGTTGACCCTCTTGTTATTAAAAATGCACAAGTGCTGCGCTTCTCAATATTTCAACACTCTTTCATTGTCAATACCACCTTCTGAGCCCTTCAGCTTGTTGCTTGCTCTAAAGATCTTCTTAGATTGGGTTTGAAAACTTCACCTTAAACACTAGATTAGACTGATGTTCTGTTTTCCGTGCTCCTGTTGATTTGTTGAACCTTCCCAGGGCTGGAAAGCAAGTAGCAGCTTGATGGGGAGACGGGCTGCTAATATGATTTACCAGTGTACAGTCATGCACAATAAGTGTGAATAAATACAAGGGTCTCACAGAGTCAACCCTAGCCTTTCCTTTTCTCTTACTTTTTACTTTAAAAGAGTATCTCAGGAAAATGAAGTGAGTAATGCATGCCCTTACAGGAGCTGGATGAGCTATGAATAAGAAGAGAAGGGGAAATAGCGAGGCAAACGTTTTTCTTAATGTGGTTGGCTGCTGTTACGTGTCGATTTGGAAAAAATGTATAATAAACACTTACTGCTTTACTCTTACATAGAACACAGCAAAGAATGTGGCACTAGTACCATATAATGAACATCGGCAAGAGGCGTATTGTCCTTTCACTTCTATTGTTACTAGTGGGAAATTAACTGGTTTCTTAAAACCAGTTAGAAGGGATTGTTGTTGTTGTTGTTGTTATTTTTTTTTAACTGTGTGATCTCAGGATAATTATCTAATCACTGAAGTTTCTGAGCTTGCAACAGATTCCCATAAGTCTTAAGAAGATCCATCCCTGCCTCTATAATGTGATCATAGTTGTCAAAATACGTAGCCTTGGATTCTACCTCTGAGAGGAATTTGCAGTGCTGTGCTTCTTAAAAGACTCCAAAAGAAGTGATAGGAAAATATTTACTCTTCATGTTATAAAGTCCAGATTTATATTTATGCAGCTTCAGCCAATACCAAGTCCTCAAAACTAATGGGTATAAGACCAATACTTACCAGGAATCCTACCCACAAGTACCTCTGGAGGGACTCTAAAAATATACTGGATGTGATTTTTATTAAAAATACTGTGACAAATCAAAATAATAATACATTTTTTTCTAATAAAATAGCAGTCATGTTTTTTCTGGACAAACTATGTTGATGGAAGAGCAAGTACTGTGGTATCATTTCACAGTCACCACATTAAACATTTCTACTGAAAGCTTAATGCATCAAAACTAGGCAGGAAAACATATTATATTGTTGTCATTCATAAATTTGAGTAGGAAAATAAATTTCCTCCAATGTCTTATCTTTGTTTTCAGTGCATGTAAGAATATCACAGGTATGTAGGGAGAATCTAAGTTTTAGTGCATCTATCTTAATTAACTTATCTGGATGTGCTTCAAAACACGTGTTTTGCCAGAAAACTGGAATGGTCTGTTCTCAGTGATCTGGCACTGTTCAGTGTTGTTGTGTGGAAAATTGATCTCAGAATTTTCGATCCTGTCTGTACTTTGTGTAAGCAACTTTGAGCCCCTTCTGCTTTCTATTTGATACGAACGGAATACATCACGGATGTGTTACTGGATTTTTTTTATGGAAGAATATCAGTTTTGAGAAAGCTCTGCTACTAAAGAAATTCTCTCTACCAGGATTATGTTTAAGATTAGCAACTGCAGAGTCCGAGTGACAATATAATAATTGGCCTCATCTTATTGCATCTGGGTAGAATGCTTGACATAGGAATTATTATGTTTATTTAGATCAATAGAGTTCCCTAAGTGAATAAGATCAACTGTATTTTACTTTCTAGACATCTGTATACATACAACACCTGTCATATAGTTTACAGTTTCCACTTAGTAACAACTCTGTCACATTAAAAATATTTTGCAGGTATTTACAAAGGAAATCAATACCAGCATGTATGTTTGGGGGGAAATAATGTAAATAGTAGAAGAATGTCATTCAGTGATTTAAAAAACAGTATTTTATGGATATCAAATCAGTCCCACATTTTACTGAATAAATAAAACTACTTTTATGAAATGTGTATCTATCTGCCTTTTGTGTGGTGTTTGTTCACTTCTGTAAAACAGTAAATAGAAGAAACTCTAAAAAAATAAAAGTAATTTATTTCCAATGATTTATAATTAAAATACAATTTAACACATTCAAAAAATTAGATTGAAGCCATTATTATATGAAAATCTAGTTTCAAACTTACCTTAAAACTGACAGTTACAACGTGATGAGACTGTTTCCTGAAAGGAAAAAATATTTATATTTATTTACTGTATGTCTTTAAGGTTTTTTACAAGGAGCTTATATTTTCATGGAAGAATTCTATTTCTTTCTTCTGTTACATTTAGTAGCCAGTAATTTATCTTCATTTTTTAGTATGTATTTTATTTTGTTTGTTAATGGGGAGATGGCTAATGAGACATGTTAGATATGTACTCTGAATTACTTTCATGAAATATACCTTGCCCAACATGCTGCATTTTAAAATATACGCATGATTTCCTCTCTTTGCATATCTCTGTATTTTGCAAAGATACAGGAAATTACATTAGAAAAGAATTTAAGCCTCTTTCCTGTGGGGAAAGAGAATGGAAACAGCTATGACACAAACTCTTTTAATCTCTCACTGCTAAAATGAAAAAAAAATCCCTTCTTTCTTACAGTTTGGCTAAATGACATCTGGTTGGTATTTTACAGAAGGGGGAGGAAAAATGCTGCAACTATATTTAGTAAAATCTCTTTTAATCCAGTTAATGTGAAAGAATTATTATAATAGCTATTTGGAACTGAGCATTTTTACAGTAACATAGACACCAACAGCAGAGAGCTTATTCTTAACCCATCCATTTGTGAAGTGATGAGTGAAAACATACCCCTGCCTTAGACATAAAAAGGAAATAAGGTAGACTGTAATTACAATTAATAGTTAATGTAAAACAAAACCTTAACATGGTTATTTTGGGAGGGGTGGAGTGGTATTTTGATCTTACTTAAAAACAGTTTCCAGGGATTTCTGATTTTTTTACTTAATAATGAAGTGAACTAAAAGGAAAAAAAAAAAGGCAAGACAGATTCCATATTCTCTGATGCTGTTTTCCTGTTTGGATTGAAAAATCTAGTTATTGTAAATTCTCTCTCAAGATACCCTACCTGTTTTTATCCTTGCTGTTTTAGCTGTCAATTCTCTCATGTAATTGTATCTTTAATATCCATTCTCACTGACAGATAACAAAGTGCATAATGCTATTTTGCTTGAACATGTTGTAACTGAAAGATAAAATGGCAGGTGCTAATTCATGTAAAGAACAGTCTAGGTCAAGTTATTTGATTTTCTACTGACCCATGCGATTCTCATAACAGGAAATTATATCATTGTTGACTTCAAGTGCTGATCTGTGATCATTTCAAAGTGTTTCATTACCTCTCATTACCAAATCTGTTAAATGAATACTGCAGGGTTATTTTGTGGTGTTTGTTGTTTTTGTTTTTTTTATCCTTCCTTTCAGCAATGGTATAGCAACTCCATGAAAGTCATATCCATGTGGTTGGCTGACAGATTAGACGTTCAGCTTCACATCTACCAGCTGAAGACTCTCATCAAGATAGTGAAGGTAAATAAAATGTGTTTGCATTAGGCTGCATAGTAAAGAGAAAAAAGTAATAACGAATAAGTATAGGTCACCCTAAAAGTTAGAAAATGTGGAATAAAGTTGTGAACTTACATAGTTTTAAGTTGGGATTTTTTTCCCACATTTGTAGCAAATTCCAGAAGAAAAATAACTTATTAAACCCCCTGATGTTAAGTATGTGTGCACAAGTATTCTTTGTCCATTCTGGACTCAGGGACAATTAAGATTGTTCCAAGAAATTTTAACAGGTTACTTCTAGCTATACAGCAATGCTGTATGATTATACTTACTAAATTATTGTTTGTCTTGTTACTGATTTTTTTTTGTTTTACCTTAGTAATTCCAACAGTGTTCTTTCTCTGTTTTCCCCCTTTTTCTTTTTTATGTGCATCTGATTACTAGGTTTAATTGAAAACATTCAATGTATTCCATGTATTAGATAACATTTTCTAATTTTTTGTACTCAGGAATCAGTACTCAGCATCAATAGAAATACCAATCCCTCCAGTTCAGTCCTCAGTCATTTACACTGGCCAATGTCAAATCCTTCCAAGCAAAGTGTAATATTCCTTGCAATAGGATGATTATGGGTTAACCTACCATAAAAGAAAGTTTTCTTCTAACTCCTTTTCAAATCTTAGTCAATACCTTTAGGCAAGAAACAGAAAACCATTTCAGTTTTTTTTCCTTTTAATTCTGTCTTGTTTAGCTTTGAACATTCTTGTTATCTGTATAAATGTGGAATAAGAAGCACCTGTTGTCAGTGGTCACCTTGATTGTTTCAAAGTATTTTCTCATGAAGTTCATGCAAGACTATAAATTCAGAGGCATTTTTACTTGTATACACCAGAATTGCAACTACAACTTTCAGAATTCACTAGCAAAAAGGAGCAGAACAGAGAGAAATGCAAGAAAACAGTTGTAATAATGATGGCATCATAGCTCCCTGAACCACCCAAGCTGAGCTTAGCTATTTTTGACCTTACCTGATTTCTCTGTCAACAGGATTTAGCTCTTCACTATATTATGTGCCCAAATGGCAAAAGCAGTTTGCTATTGCTTGTTGAAATTAATGGCTCTTATGAAAAGTTTAAAGATATTCTCAAGTGAATCATAGAATAATTTGGGTTGGAAGGGACCTTAAAAATAATCTAGTTCCAACCCCCCTGCAATAGACAGGGACACCTTCCACTAGACCAGGCTGCTTAGAACTCCATCCAGCTGGCCTTGAACACTTCCAGGGATGACACATCCACAACTTCTCTGGGCAACCTGTTCCAGTGCCTCACCACCCTCACAGGGAAGGATTTCTTCCTGATATCTAATCTAAACCTGTTCTCTTTCAGTTTGAGTCCATTCCCCCCTGTCCTATCACTACATGCCCTTGTAAAAAGTCCCTCTCCAAGGTAGTTATTATCTCTTGGAGAAAAATATAGGTGTTAGAGGATCTAAAACCTGTGCCCAGTGAGATCTAAGAATGGGCAGGCTAAATTAGACCAGTGAAATATCACCAGGGAGAGGAAAAGAAGATCTTTCAAAACTGAAGTTCAGGTGAATGAGCAGCACTGCCAACCCACCTTCCCTGTGCCACGTGGCACACTGGTTATCCTTGTTCAAAAGCAGAAAGCTCCCACTGGAGGTGGTAACACTCTGCTTATGGCAGTGGCCTTTCTGTGTCCATATGCTCTGCATGTAAATTTCAAGTGTATTATTCCAGGGCGCCTTCTTTGAATACCAGAGATTGAAAAAGATGAGGTCATTTTTATTTGTTCTGGAAAACAAAAAATTTTGTGCACCTGGGTTTTGATGGGTGGAGAAGACAGAACTAGTAAAACAGGAACTCAGCAGACAGGAGCCTGCTAAGAAACAATGGTTTGAGTATCATAAGAAACTTTCCCTGCTGCAGCCCATCTGGGGAGAGACATGTGGGGAGGCACAGTTCCTCCAAACTCTTGTGTGCATAAAGGCACTTTTCTGTTTGCTTTTGGGAAAAAAAAAAAAAGAAAAAACCAACCAACCAAACAAACAAAACCAAAAACAAAAAACCAACAACAACAAAAAAATACTGGGAGGCTGTATTGCCCCAGTCATCTCTTGGAAAAAAAAAAAAAGTAGGTGGTCATTTTTAAGGGACATAGGATGAGTAAGAGAAATACATTTCTTTAGTGTTTGGATGCAACAAAGGTAGTGGCATTATTAAGAAAGACTAGAAGAAGATGTGTTGTTCCCTTTTTTCTCTTTAAAATCTTATGATGGCATTAAGGCTTTGTTAAATGTCCAAGACACATACAGAGGGATATAACTAAAGAAGGGTCAAGGACCAAGAAAGTTAGGGAGAAATGAAAAATTAAGCTTGGAAGTGAACATTATTATCCTGCAAAACTGTGTCAAGAGAAGAGCAATGTCTGAACCCCAGACTGCTGGTCTTAGAATGGGAAGAATACAAGGTAAAACTGAAAGAAATTGCTGTAGGACCTGTTAACAGCATAAAAGCAAATTGAATGCACAGTGTTATAAAAAGGGAATGCAGTGGTGACACTTGAAAAAGACCAGATGGGGTACGGGCAGGAGTGTGTGAGCAAAACATAAGCTGTGTCCGTTGACTCTGATGTTGACCCGTGAAAGCCAAATAAATCTCAGTTGCAGTGATTCCAACAAGGTTTAAATAATCATCATAGATAGTGGCAGAAAAAAATCTCCCAGATGAATGTTACCCATTTTAAGAGGTGTCTTTTGCAGTTCTTTGAAGTATTGAGTGAAACAAGATCAACTCTTTTCTTTCTCTAAGGGTTGTGCATGGTCTCCTCCTCAGGCAAAGGAATAGGCCTGATAGCCTTCAATTATCTTCCATTTTCTTTCCCCATATTCTGTCATAAACATTTGGAATTTGTAGTGATAGTGTACACAAAATAAGAAACTAGCTAGATCAACTTGTCCTTCTTAAGCCTTTTAGGGTAACATCAGGAAAGATTATTTCAGATGTGTTACAACTTAAAAATAAAGAAGGTAGGTGATTTTCCATATGCTTATTTGAACATAGCATTGATGAATTAAAACAAGTTCACTCAGAATTCTTACATGATGGAAAGTCAAAGAAGAAATTCATATCTGCTGGTTCATAGGAAGGATAGATACCAGGGAAACAAAACCATCTCAAGTGGAAAAAAAAAAGTAGATATAAGTCAAAATTTAGAGGAAACTAGAATGTAAATTAACTGAATAAAGTAGTCAGCTGAGAAACACTGACATTTTAGAATGTAGATCATAATCTAAACTTTGATTTTCCACATTTGGCATATAAATGGAAAAATAAATATAAATAAAAATTACATTGTGGAGAAAAAGTCAGGCATTTATGCTTTCTGTGAAAAGACAGAACTACCTGTAGCCAAATTCACATTTCAATATGTATTTAGAAGAATTCTTTCCTGACTTCTTACTGAATAAATGAGACAAATGGAAGTTACTGAGAAATCATCAGTTATAGTATGCTGTAGCACAAAACACAATCTCTTAAAGGAATGACGATCAAATTAGAATCTCTTGGGTTTATAGAAATCTCATGCAACCCAAAAACTAAGACTGCAAAATCTTTACCCAGATGATAGGTCCCTAATTGCAGAAGGAATGAAGCTGTGCCACTGGCATGCTAGAAATGGCCAATATACAGTAAAAGACTGCTCAAACTTGCTGAAGTCCAATTCAGGATGTTTTATTTTTGCCACAGAAATCTTACCGAGACTTCAGGTTACAAGGCGTGATGGAGGGAACGCTGAACAGTAAAACCTACGATACCATTCACAACCGTCTGACTGTAGAGGAAGCCACAGTCTCAGTCACGGATGCGGGAGGACTTCAGGGCATTACTATGAAAGACAGTGATGAGGAGGAAGGGTGATATTATCTCACAAAGCATTTGGAGTTGGGAGTGATGGTCTGAGGGTGGGGTTTATCTTTGGCTTGGGGTTTTTTTGGTAACTTGTCCTTGTAGTTGCATTTATAGTTTTGCCTTATGATATCAGTGCAGAAATGTAATTTGCTCCACTAAAAAAAAAAGTAAGATTATCAGAGGAAAAGTGCCAAGGACTTTTTGATAATAATGGTTGTAGAATATTTTTATGTATAGCTTTGCTTAAGGCTGCAAGAACACTGGCATGGAGTTTGAGTTCCACTTGTGATTATGTTTCTTCCACTTTTGTTTGTTACCATTCGTTCTCGTATCTCCATCTGATATTGACGTCCTGTGCAGAAACAAAATGTGCATCTCACTTAAACATAACTCTACAGGAAATCATCCTTGGAATAAGTCAATGCCCTAGGTGAAAAAAAATATTGTATTTTCAGAATTACTTTGTTAGCTTTATTTTGTGCTTAATTTTACATTATTATGTGATGTGCATTAAAAATTTTAGACTTGTTTCTTTGCATATTGAGGTTGGTATATAAGTAGTAGGACTTCAAGGGCAGTCAAACACATCCAAACTGCTTAGGAGTGTTGTGTCTATTCAATTTGCAAGTTTAAAGATATCTCATCCTGTTGGATGTCAGTAAGCTTGCTATCAATGTTTGTATTTCTGTGAAAATTTTCAGGCAATAAGAACACATTTTGTCGTGACCATTTCTGTATCTACCCAAGTTTGTATAGAATTCGACAATTAAAAGATGTTTTCAATATTTCAAACCATTTGAACCATTGTATGATTCCTCATGAGAACAAGTTTTTTGAAAGATTATTCTATTTAGTTTACATTGTGATTTATAGCAAATGTTTCAGTTATAGAGCAGATATATATAAGAAGTAAATACTGAAGGACACAATACCTTGATAAAGGAAAAAAGCAAACAAAAACACCTCACTAGCAGATGAACACAGGACCCGTTGCCTGTTTTTTGATGCCCTCAGTTTGAGCTGGAAAGAATTCAAATTTTCATCAGTCAAAACTCACACAGCTTATGAAAACTACAGCAGCCTTTTTTTTTCTCCTTCTTCTTCTTCTTTTTGTGGGAGCATGAGTAATTCTCCGATTTGTGTACACAAAATCAGAAAGAACACAGATGACACCCCAAGTACTGAAGGTTTCTCAGGTCCTTGTTGAGCAATAGCATTATTATACCTGAAGGGCTTCACTGAGGGCATGTTGAGGGTTTACGAGGCTGACATGAGGTTTCCCTGCAAGAACAGTCTATAAGACTTCAAGGGATCTGTTGCAAGCATGCAGGGATGCAGGAACTGAGAATGAGAACTGCAGGGAAAGTGACTTTCAGCACACTTGGAAGCTTGGACAAGCAGGGATGGAAGGGCAAGTTACACTTCTCTTATATCTCTACAGAGAAACTCCAGGTAGCATTTTTTTTTCTGTGGCAAACCAGCCTTCTCATCTGTGCATGAGCTGAGGTGAATTCAGAAAAAGGAAGAACTGGGAGCTGGTGAGGAAGACCATTCTGCTCAGCTCTTTGTGCCCCAACTGAGTCCTTGCCTAGAGGGCCCCAGGAGGCTGGGAGGGCAGGAGTGCAGGCACCCCTGCCCCAGGACAGCTGCAGCTGCAGTGCAATGTGTGTTTTGGGGAGCAGCGGGGCAGGAGTTAGCTGCTGTAGGGCAGAGTGACCAGAGAGGCAGGCAGGGGGAACACAGTGCACTCTCCTTCGTTCACTTCCCATTCACGTTACCATCTCTGCTGGGCTGGAGGGAGCAGCAGTATTTTCCACTATTACCAGGCTCCCAGATGGGTTTGCTCATTTAGGTTTTGATAGCTGTAGAGGAATTACATATCCCTTTCCTATCACTTGTCCTTGTGGTGCTAGTACATGGAAGTTGACAGTGCTTGAAGGGCCAGAGTGTCAGTCATGCACAGAGCTTCGTCTCTGCAAAAGTCTCCCTGCTTGCACTCTCCCAACCATCTTTACATTGCTGAGACCCTGTGGAGGTGCCTGTGGAGAAGCCAGTTGTAAATAGGTGAAGGCAGATGTCACTGCAGTGGCCCTGCAGTGCTTGCCAAGGCCTCCTAGTGCAGGACCATGCCATACCCATGTAGAACTCTCACTAGAAGGCATTAGGAGATTTTTAGGTTCTGAGGTAACAGGAGAGTAGAAAGTGATATGAAAACTGGACACTGTCCTTAGCAAGCCACAAACAGTGGCCTGGAGTGGGAAGTAGAAACACTGGCACATAAGTGGCTGTCACCAGCACAGACCATGAGGGAAGTGATGGGTCTGTCTCTCCTTCAGCAGAGACCAACCTTGCATTAACACCTCTGCCCAGCCCTGCTAGCCCAAAGCCCTGTGGGAAACAGTGATTTGTACTCACCTCCCCTTTGGGCTTTTCCTCTGTCCCAAGAGGGACCTCCTTGGGCCAAGAAGGGTTTCCTGGTAAGGCAAACAATTTTTCCTATCAATTTGGACAACTACGGAACAGGTTATAGTAATTTCAGCTGTTAAGGCCTCAATAGTACTCATAGGCCATCATGGTCTTTAACAGGTGTCACCTGAGGCCCCCACCAACTGCCTTTGTCCAGGGACTCTGCCTCAGCTTCATCCAGGGCTGCAAGTCTCTGCATCAGCAATGGAAGAGGAGCAATGGTTTCTCACTCAGCTGCAGCCCTACATGTGCTTGTTTATGTGCCCAGTTTGTCCAGACCCTGCCTCAAGGGTTGACTTCAGACCTCTGTGACCATCACAAACATGTCAGTGATCTGGGTTTCCACCACCTCTTCCCCTGCCCCACTCGCTGGCTGGGTGTGGTGGGACTGGCCCTGGCTGGTGGGAACCTGTCCAGACAGCCTGGGGAATCCCCCCAGCGCCCTATATCTTAGGAAGCAATCAACTCTGTCTACACCCTAACATAATTTAAAAAAAGAAAAAAAGAAAAAAAGAAAAAAACCACCCAAACAATAAGACCATGAAGTTTTGTGGCTTGAAGTGTGTCTGAGCTAATCAAATTTCATGAAGCATGATGCATGTAAACCCCATATGTCAAGCACTTTGCTATATGATTTCGTCTGCACGCAGTACTTGCAAGACACGTTTGTCAGTAAGATGGAAATGAGCAAGAAAATAGTAAAAAAAACAAACAAACACCAAACCAAAACAAAGATGATTTGAGTAAGTAAATAGTAAAAAAAAAAAACCAAAAAACCAAAAAAACCCACAACCCAAAGGCCAAAGATGATGTAACCACGAAAAAGAAGTTACAAGATGTATGGGATTTCAGAGAAATTAACTCAGACACAAAGTATGTGTAAGTTATTGCTAGAGAGACAGCACAGCAGACATCAATGGAAGGCAAGTGCAGAAACAACAGTGCTTCAAAGGTCCTTTCATTTCTTCTAAATTCAAGTATTTTCTTAGTAACTAGGTTTGTGAAACCGTGAACCAAGCTTGAGAAGTCCTGTAGGTACCTGCGTGACCGCTCTAGCGCTGGACACCGCCGCTGCCAGCAGCCGCGGCAAAGCCCCGCGAGGGCGGGCGCAGGGGCCGCCTGGGGTGTTTAAACCCTCAGCACGCTCCGGAGGTGTGTGCCCGTACCGAGCGCCCACATCGCCTCCGTGCGAGGCAGCCAGCGGCGCACCCGCCACGCTGTCCCGAGGCTGTGGGAGCCTCCACGGAGACACTGCCCCCGCCGCCGCCTCCTAAGCGGGCATGGAGTGCAGAGAGCCTTCAGCAAGGGGGCAGGAGGGGTCTCGTTTAATTACCCTCCACCCCTCACCCCGCGCCTTAATGGTATAAAAGGGTCTGTAGAAGCCGAACCAGAACAAGCCATGGCCGAGTGCGCGTCCAGCGCTGCGAGCGGTGGTCGGGGCCGGGGCAAGAAAGCGGCGCTGACCCTCACAGCTCTGCTGCCACTGGGCAGGGGGTTCCCGGGGCCAAGAGCTCGCCCCCTCGGCTATCGCTTACCCCGGACAAGGGGTAAGCCAAGTCAGCGGCTGTGGAAATCTCCGCGGCGACAAGGGCGACTTCGGGGCACTGAGCCTCCCACCTCCAGCCGAGCAAAACCTCTGTCCCGGCACCGCAACTCCCCTGCTGCGCTGCCCGCCCCAGCCGACCAAGCCCGCACCGGCGAGTCCCGCCGCTGATACTTGCGGTCCTAGAGCGGCCCTGCGCTGTAAACCCGACCCGAGCGGAGGGCAGGAAGCCCCCTGTGCAGGAGCCGGCGCAGCTTTGGAGGGACCGCTAGACCGAGAGGCTCCCGGGCACCGGGTGCTCATCGAGAGGGCTCCCAGCGGAGCGGAGCGGCTTCCCTCCTCTCTCCTGCCTCCCTCCTGTCCCCTGTGGACATGACACTCACACAACTCCTCCCGAGGGGATCTCGAGTGTGGTGTTTCCAGGCTTGAGGGGCCAGAGCTCCTCCTGGAACACACCAGAGTCCCGCCGCAGAGGGCAGCCGGGACACCAGTGTCAACTTTCTGAGTGGGCAGCAAGTGCGGCTCCACGAGGGACACGGCGATGAGCTCGAGGGTTCGGAGAGTGGTTGTAAGGCAGTGAAGCGGGTTCCTGCACAGAGAGTGCCCGTTTTGCACCTACCTGTGTTTTGAATCAGGCGTTTGACTGTCAGCAAACGAGCGCGGAACAGACGGCGGGAGCCGCATGGCAGCAGCAGGGCAGTAGGGAAGCCGAGAGGGAGCCGGGTTCGTTCTGTGCGAAACGGACGGAACCCTCGACGCCCTTGGGACTCACGGAAACATCATGGCCGGCCTCCCACCGGTGCGGGCGCGTTTTGTCTTAACAGCGACTGGGGAGGAAAAAAAGAAAAAAAAGAGGCAGCTAAACAAACAAAAAGGAACAATCACACACACACACACAGAGTTTACTTTTACGGCTTTAGGAGGAGTATTGTCGTGTCGCCCCTCCCCCCGCCCCGTCCCAACTGATGCTCAGTTCTCCCATGTGTCCGTGCCCGGGTAGGGGCGCCGGGCGAGCAGGCGGGGTGACGGGGAGCCCTTTCCGGGATCTGTCCAGGAGCGGCCGCGACGGAGCACGGCTCCTACTTTTGTTCTTATTTTCACATTTTTCACTTGGCTTCTCCCTCCCTCTCAAGCAGCGGCGAATCGAAACGGGCCCCACCAGAAGCGAGAGGGTCCGGCAGACACCTTCTCCCCGTCGCCATGGCGAGCCCGGCCCACACAGCGACCAGCTCTTTGCTTTGCTCCAAGTTACCTCCCAATACACTGACAGAAAAATGGAAACAAAAAATAAGTTAATTGCTCCTGATCCTATTCAGGAATCTTAAAAATAAATAGCTTCCCCCAGCCAAAGAGGGAGAGACGTTCATTTAGTGGCAACGGGGCTAAACATTTGTTGAACTGGGAAAGGAACAAATGAGAAAGTGTCATTCATGGCTCCAGCTGCCGCTGGCCTCTCCCAGCCACTTCCACCAAGGGCCCTTTGGAGCTGATGACACCGCTGGGTCCCCTCACAGGCGGACTGATTAGATTAGACGTGATGGCTGCGGTTCACGTTTGGAGCTGGCACACTTAGCCAAATCGCTCGCATGAATTACGGGAGGGCCGGAAGCGCTGCTTTAGAGGGTCACTTGTAATTTCGTTTATATGTGATTAAAGGGTTTATACCTGAAAAGGCTTAATTTGCACCAGTTTGTTTTTCGATTTAGAGGGATCTGTACGAAAGGTACAGTACTTCCAAACTTTGTTTCACCTCCGACAACACTTGTGTTGGGCGGGTCAGTGTCAACTGGTTTTCGTTTGTGATGGATTCGGTTAAAAATAGCAGCACTGTATTTTTTTACTTGTGGTGGAACTGCTCTAGAACGATACCAACACACCCTCACTGTATGGGAAGACTACACATAGTCTCCGAAGGTATACACACACACGCACGCATATATATTATTAATTTTTTCCACCGGAGAAAGTGTCAGTTGAGAAAACGTCGAAGTGTTACAGCTTAAAACAACGCAGCAAAGCCCAAGCGCCTTTGCCTGAGCTCCCAAAACAGCAGAGCTCGAGATTGCTGCGAAGTGCACCTGAGCTCTACGGCCGCCCCCTCCTCGCCTCTCCTCGCCGGGGCCGGGCCCGGGTCGGCCTGAGAGCCATGTACCCCACCCCAGCAGCTGGGCGGGCAGCGGCAGCAGCAGATTCCACCTAAAAAGACGGCGGCGCGGGCTGATAAACGGTGACGGCGGATGACCCACCGGGGTGTTCTTCCCCTCGCTTTAACTCCCCCGTTTATGTTTTGACTTCCCTTTAAAAAACAGTAAACAACAAGCCCTGAGTGGGAATAAACAGCGAGCCCTTCAGCCCCGCAGCAGCCGGGAGCTAATTTCGAGTTGTAACAAGCCGGGGCCAGCGTGCTGAGCCGCGGCGGGTCTGCGGGCGGACGGGCGGGGGGACATGGATCCGCGGGCAGGGCACGGCGGCGGCGGGGCTGAGGGAGGACGGCGCTGCTGTTCCGTGTCGGGATAAATCTCTTCACAAATTCGGCGGCTGGGAAGGGGACGGCTCGGACTGATGCGTATCGAGAGCAAACCCGAGCTTTAGCAGGGAATCCCGGTGGTGCACTATTAATGACGACTATTAGAACAATAATAACAGTAATCAGGGTCTGGCCAGGCGCTGTCGGGTCCGTTGGTGTCGCAGCCAGAAGGATGCTCTGTAACCTCCCCGGTTACCTGCACGCTTGGGTTGCCCGGAGACGCCTCGGAGCCAGGCGGGTCGTTAGCCCTCCCTGCCCTTCCCCGGCCGGGGAGAGTCGGCTTCGGGCGCACGGAGGGAGCAGCCCGCTCCGGCAGGAGCGTTGTGGTAAAACACTTCCAGGAAAATATTGATACACGCAACAGAAGGTTAGCGGAGTTATTATCCTTTTCAATTCATTTTTTACTTAAAAAACGCAATGGAATTATTCATTTTATTAAGGGGGAAGAAATTAAAGATTAGGCTTTAGGCGGTATTTTACCTCCCTCTAATCGCTTCTGGGATCGGATTGGAGTAATCCTGACGACGAGATGAATTCGCCAGTGACTCGGATTTTGAATGCATGTAGAGATACGTTATGATAATAATGCAAGTGAGCAATATCAAGAACATAGCTTAGGAGCGAATGAAACACAAAGCTGATTACGGGGAAAAAGAGAACAGCAGCTTTCCCGGGCAGAGCACGAAATCAACTCGAGGCAAAACTTTTGCCCTTAATTCCTCCGACGGTTCGTAACACTGGGACGCCGGCGGGCCCGCTCCTTCCCCCGTTGGCCCCTTCTGCCGGGACTCGATACGTGCCGCCAGACTGGAGGGAGCCCCGGGCCCGTCGTGAACCCGCCAAAAGAAACCGGCCAAGAAGTTTCTTATTGCTACCTTCAGAGCCTGTAAATCTTTCTGCCTCTAGAAAAACAAACCTGCACCAGCACGACTGCAGGATATTTGCAGCTCAGCAGATATGCAAAATCGCTAAAAAGATGCGGTCCGAGAGCGAGGCAAAGCTCAGGACAGGACTGAAAAAAAGTATATCGACATTGATTTTAGTAACTCTATCTATACTGCGGGCAACTCCAGAACTAACAAGGCTCCATCTCTTGAGACGGAACGGGAGGACGTTCCCCCCCAAAAACAAAAATTTAAAAACGTTGCTTTTAGATCGTTATTGAATAATTAGGCACTAACATAAGTTTTCCTGCACAGTACAAAAAGAAAGGGATACGTATCCGAAAGGAACTAACGAATAATAAAGCTCCCGTTTCTCCAAGAGTGTATCTCAGTATGGAGGAGACCAGGATAATTGCAATGGCAGGGCTGTAATTGCTGCTTTGGGATATTTACCCTGCTCAAATGACACTACATATTTTACTTTCAAACACATGTCAAAAAGTCAATCCCAAAAAGACCAGTTAAGAGCAAGCTGTTAACATATTAAGTATATGGGATTTGAAGCCTCTAAAACCCACTCAACAATAATTCCCTTCTTCAGCACCAATCAAAAGGAAATTTGCCTAGATTGAATTAAATGTAAATTGCTCTGAAGGAGGAAACTCTCCTCTGGCGGACACAAAATACGCGAGAGACACCGACATACCGGAGAAGCAGGGGAACACGGCTCCGGCCCCCGTCCCACCTCCCCCCTCCCCCGCGGGTCACCGCTGCCTCTTTCTCCCCCAGGTCGGTGACACCGGCCGAGCCGGAGCTGGTGGTGCCAGTGCGGGAAGCAGCAGGTAAGAGGCAGGCGGGTGCGGCAGCCCGATCAGGGTCAGCAATTACGGTCTTAACGCCCTGACCCATGTGCCGGGGGGGATTGAGGGGAGGGAGGGGGAAGGGAGCGGCGCAGCCCCGGTCAACGGCCCCTCATCCACACCGGGGAGAAACAGGGAGCAGGGCTGGAGCGGGGCATCACGGCTGGAGAGCCCTCAGGGCCCAGCATGGCCCAGCACGGATTCCGCCCTTCCTTCGTCCCACTCTCGCCCGCACGGCTGTGTCCACCCCGGCAGGTTCCGAGGCCAGCCCCGGTTCTTGTTGCCCTCCTGCGCTCCGGGCACCGGCGGGACGGGGCGGACACGGAGGTTGCAGGGCGTGCGGGGCACATCCTCTACAGCGAGGGGTGCACGGGCCACGGCCCATCGTTCGACGTCCGTCCCAGAGACAGCATGATATTCTCTTCCTCCGTCCCCCGCAGCTGCCCGTTGCTGGCACGGAGCTCCCGGCCACGGAGGTACCGTCGTGGAACAGCCGCTGCCTTGCCCTCCTCAAACGGAGCCGCGGTGGCCCGGGGCGGCGTCGGCCAGGTCCAACCGCCGAGGGCGAGGATGCCTCCCTTCATCCCTCTTTCCGTCCCTCCATTCCTGCGTCCCTCCCCAGGCCCCCAGCCCTTCCTTCCCGCTCTCACTTTCCCTCAAGTTGGTTATCCTGGGCCGGGAGGGGATGGGGAAGCACAGCCTTTTTCGGGTTCTTCGGCTGGTACCAGAGCAGCGGGGGCCGCACCTCCCTACCTCGCTGGAGGCTTCTCGCCATTAGCAAAACCGAGACCTCCTGCTTCTCTCCCTCGGTCCCGGAGAAAGGCAGCGCTGGACATCTGGAGGGAAGGCTGCCCCATGGGTCCCTCCGCTGGGGGAAGCGGCCCAGCTGCTCTCTGCGGGAGGTGGAAGGAACGGAGGGACCCTTGGCTTCTCCCTGACGTTACTTCGGTAGCAGCCTCTCAGCGAGCAGCCAAGTGAACCCCAGGCCGGAGGGAAAACGGGATCTTGTCCTGAGCCCGAATTGTCGACTGGTGGGATGGGCGGGAACACAGAAAGCCCCATACCCACTGCTGCCCCTCTCATCTCCCCGACCACCCCCGCTTCGCTGTAAGTACGAACAGCCGCTGGAGCTGCCCGCCCCGAACAGGGCCGTCAAGCTTCTCTTAAATACATGGGCATCGCATCTGTTTAGGTGCATATATATCTATAAGCACTGTGGGGCCTGTATATTCCTTCATGTATCTATACCGGCCCTGAGTTTTCGGTATTTGTGTTGTGCGTGTATCATATAAGGACAGAGAAGCTAAATTTAGTGTATATGCAGGTGTTATATATATATATATGTAAAAATATAAATAGTGCCTCAGATTTAAAAGGCACTCCCTACCTCCTTTTTCTTCTCTTCCCCTGCCCCAGGTTTTGAGTCATCCTTTTGCTCTCAAGTACTCGTTCTATTTGGCCCGGGAGGTGCCTGCCTCCCCTCGCGCTGCTCTGGACGTCTGCTTGCCGCAAGTCCCCCGCTTATTTGTCTACCGTGTTTTCCAAAAGCTT